CATTTCATCTTTTCTGACACTTTTTCACCAGTTTTGCATTTGGCTAGGGTCACTGTCACTACTGTTAGCACGAGGCGCTACCTGGACCCTACAGAGGTTGCACAGACATTCCAATTACTCCAGGATGGCACATCACTACGTGCCATTGCCAGAAGGTTTGCTGTGTCTCCCAGCACAATCTCAAGAGCATGGAGGAGATTCCAGGAGACAGGCAGTTACTCCAGGAGAGCTGGGCAGAGCTGTAGAAGGTCTTCAACCCATCAGCAGGACCGGTATCTGCTCCTTTGTGCAAGGAAGAGCAGGAGGAGCACTGCCAGAGCCCTACAAAATGACCTCCAGCACGCCACTGGTGTGAATGTCTCTGACCAAACAATCAGAAACAGACTCCATAAGGGTGGCCCCAGGGCCCGACGTCCTCTAGTGGGCCCTGTGCTCACTGCCCGGCACCGTGGAGCTCGATTGGCATTTGCCACATAAGACCGGAATTGGCAGGTCCCCCACTGGCACCCTGTGCTTTTCACAGATGAGAGCAGGTTCACCCTGAGCACATGTGACAGACGTGAAAGGGTCTTGAGAAGCCATGGGGAACGTTATGCTGCCTGTAACATCGTTCAGCATGAACGGTTTGGTGGTGGGTCGGTGATGGTCTGGGGAGGCATATCCATGGAGGAACACACAGACCTATACAGGCTAGACAACACCACCCTGACTGCCATTAGGTATCGGGATGAAATCCTTGCACCCATTGTCAGACCCTATGCTGGTGCAGTGGGTCCTGGGTTCCTCCTGGTGCACGACTATGCCCGGCCCCATGTGGCGAGAGTATGCAGGCAGTTCCTGGAAGATGAAGGAATTGATACCATTGATTTTTTCGCACGCCAGCCTGACCTAAATCCAATAGAACACATACATTATGTTTCGATCCATCCGAGGCCAACCAGATTGCACCTCAGACTGTCCAGGAGCTCAGTGATGCCCTGGTTTAGATCTGGGAGGAGATACCCCAGGACGCCATCCGTCGTCTCATTAGGAGCATTCCTCGACGTTGTCAGGCATGCATACACGCACGTGGGGGCCAAAAAAATTACTGAATACCATTTTGAGTTGCTGCAATGACATTTCAGCAAAATGGACTAGCCTGCCGCATAATTTTTTCACTTTCATTTTTGGGGTGTCTTTGAATTCAGCCCTCTGTAGGTTAATAATTTTACTTTTAATTTCCATCAAATGATGTGGCATCCTTTTGGTCCTAACACAATGAGATCTGATGTGTTTTCAAAGTGGTCCTTTAGTTTTTTTGAGCAGTATATATATATATATATATATATATATATATATATATATATATATATATATATATATATATATATATATATATATATATATATATATATATACACAAACACACACACATATTCTGATGTAGTATTTAACAATTTAATGTTCAAATGGCTTTTGCCACATTTAAGGTTTATTTTTAGTTTAGTTTTTGCTACATTATTAAATATGTCATATTTTCAGTATGAAAACATACTGTAATTTTGTTCCACAATCCATACCAGGAGGTGGCGGTAATGCACTTTCAAATGTTTTGCCAACCGCCATTAAACCATTAAAAATAAAAACTACTCCTGTTCGTCTATACTGGTCCAAACTCATCCTTGAAATAAATTTAATTATAATGTAAACAGGAAGTCCCACTGATTGCATTAGTTTGTTTTGTTTTCGTTTTGTTTTCCCCCCAGGGGTTTGGGGTAGTGATGGTTAATAAGGCATCTTGAAGCCAAACTATTGATACTGTGAGTCTCACAGAATACTGACACCTACTGGACATTTATAGACACTACAGGCAGCTTATTTGACAGACTAAACTGAATTGATTTGATGACCTAGTACAATGATATTTGATAATTTAACTTATTGTAGGTTATATTGTATTATTTTATATCTATGTTTAAATTGAAAATATCTTTGATAAATAATGTAACCATATAACGTGAAAATTTAGGGGAAAATTTGAATGAGGATGCTTGTGGAATACATTTAAAAATGTGATTTAAACTCCAATAAGTAAAGTAAAAACAGTAAATAGACTAAGAGTCAGTTTGAAATTAACTGTAATTCAGATAAATTGTGTGATAATTGAGAGGAAAAGTATGACACAACGAAAAAAGTAAAATAAAGATGCAACGGTTCAAGTGTTCCTATTCCTTTTAGACTGCTTGAAAATACTGCAAAAGATGAGATATTTTTTTAGCAGATGCATCATGTTGACAGATATGTTTTTAATTAATTATAATAATTTAATTGAGCCACTCAGTTAGAACCGATAAAGTGTTTTTTATGGCAAGCCAAGAGCCCCACTATTCGCATCTATTATCATGTTAAGATAGAAATTCACCCGTTTTCAAAACAGCACCCATTTTCCAAAATTGTGCCGCCTTTCACATCTGTCATGATGACAAGTACCGCTTTTTATATCCGTCATGATGTCAAGCGTCGCTTTTTACGTCCGTCATGATGGTTCCTGACGCGCGTCGTTACCCAGACAACACTCGTCGAAGACACACATTTTCCTATTATGATATTGTATTATAATAATTATTTCCTTCCTTCTTGTCGGACATGAATCGACATGCATCGCTAACCAATGTTTTGTGCTGTACAGGTATTACTTGCAACAGTTCACATTTTCTACAGCTAAGTGTTGGCGCAGTGGTTAGAGCGACAGCACGTCATGCAAATCTCTTGCTTCAACACTATGGCGAGTCAAGAGTGCCACTATTTGCATCTAATAAAACATGATAATTAGAGTTGAATAGTGGCCCTCTTAGCTTGCCATAGTTTTCTCTATGGACTCGACGCATGCATGCATCGGTGTTAATGGACCCATCGCTAGTTTGGGGGGAGGTGGAGATAAACCTTCCTCTTTATCAAGTGTTACTACAAAATACCACATGTTTAATTTGATTTGCTGCCTACATCCATGAACTAGAAATTTGTATAATTTTAAGTTTTTTAAAACAGCAGCATATGAAACAAATTCAGAAGCTGATCATCACTGAAGCCAGCTCATAATTATTATAGAAAGCAACAGCATCAAATTCCAGAGATTTGTTTTCCTAAGAATATATTGGCATCAAGAAACTATGATAAAAAAAAACATCTGAATAGATCAGGATAGGATTAGAAATAAATTTAGTAAAAGAAAATATTTTCCTGCATTTTATTTGCTCTGAAGCTGATCTTTATTTTATCAAAACAATAAATAGAGCACATGGTGTTATGATTTCTTTTAAACACTAGAAGGCGCTATTTCACACTACAGAAGTTAAGTTTTTCTTTTCCTAATCTTTTAATAAACTCAGAAAAAAAAAACACTTCAAAGAAACTCACCAAGAAAAAAAAAAAAAGTTTTTTTTATATATAAATTTATGTTCAGGAACATTAGACATCAACATAAGTCCATTACATTTTGAAATAACATTACAGAAACAAGAATCATGCAGGAGGAATTTTTATTCAATTAAGATCATTTTCAAAAAGAAAAAAAGAAAAATATTAACAGTTACAACACCTATATATAAATATTAGATATCAACAAAGTTTAAGACTAAAAACATTTCTTTACATATTTGAGTTATTGCTGTGAGAAGCTGCTTCCTCAAACGGATACGGCTTTCATATCTATTTCTTTAAAACATTTGAATATTTACTTTAATAAGTTCATTATTTTATATTAAATATTGATTGATAAATGTAGTAAATTAAGATTTGAAAATAAAACTGTAGAGACATTGTCGTTGTATGAGTTATATTCAATGAAGGTCCAGCCTTCAGGCGGATTGAAGCATTTCTACACATTGCTTGGCTATTTGCTTCTTTCAATCGTGTTTGGAGTTTAATCTTTTTCTTGTTTTTATAAATGGTCTAAAAGTTTTTATATATTGTTTGTTCGTTTATCTGTTTATTATTGTTAAAAATTTGTATTTTTTTATTAGTACAGTTCTTTTGTGTTTAGTTTTTTGTTTATTCTTGTTTTATTTGTTCATTCAGATTTGCTTTTCTTAAATCAGCCTTACTCTTTCACTCTGTGTGAGGAGTTTCTCTGTATCTCAGAGTCATTCTGTTTGAGTTCATTAGTGTTCCTGCCTCAGCTCCCCTGCTTTCATTAACCAACAGCTGTTCCACACCTGCTTTGGATAGCTCATCTGCTTCCTTAGGCCTGGTTTATGCTTGATGCGCGGCCAAATGATGTCATTTTGGACTTCTACCCCCCCCCGCGAGGTGGAGCACCTAGGAAAAATTTTTAACCACGCAGATGGATACATGCAGAAAACATGGCGAACAAGCAGCAGCTCTTGCTGGCGAGGGTTCGCAAACGTAAACATCTACAGACTTCCTGTGATTTAGCCCCTAAATATCAGCACATTGTGGAAAAACTCCAGGAAAGAAATATTAATCTGGAATGGCATGAAGTGGCTGAATAACGAGGCCTTCAGTCATTTCCCACTCCTGCCTCACAATCTAAGCTCCTGTTTTCCATGTATTTCGCTGAATTCTTCCATTATTACAGTAACCGTTTCTTTGCCTCTGCTCCATATTCTTTACAAGACCTGTAAGATTTCTGTTTTATTTTTAGTAAAACCTCCACTATGCTCAAACTAAATTCCTGTCTTTATTTCGGTCCAACAAAATACCTACAACACCTGACAGGTTTATCTTTGTCTCAGTTATCGTTTTCATCAAAAGAAACCAGGTATCGATCGCAATATTAGCGGCAATGTTAACAGCCTCCTGCTGGGACGTTCTGATCTGGACTTTAGTTTCCTCTGTGGCTCAGGAATACTACAATGATGCAAAAAAATCTGTTAAGTTTTAAAGTTACATATTTCTAGGGTTTAAGAGTTAAAACTCATAAATGTAAACACGCAAACAAAGCCATAAGATATTTTATATTATATTCCCTTTCAGCAAAGAAATGTTGTCATGTCAGAAACCATTTGTGCTTTGAACCATTTTGAACGGCGTATATAAAGTTACAGGTCTTTGTTATTTTGCATTCCCTGCTTGTTCACACTCTTCTTTAGACTGTTTGGAACAAGTTTCCCTCAAGCAGGCTCGGATAAAAAAACAAAAACTGGCTCAGATAAGAAAAAAAAAAACCCACCTCCATTTGGTGACATAATGATGTGGGACATTTAAGATGACATGAACTGATGTCAGTTACATAGAAGCAGGATAATTAATAACTTAAAGCTTGTTGCACAGTTTATGATCAAAGGTTTGGATCAATGTCGTCTGGTTGCCGGTTCGAGTCTGTTGGACAGGGCGGTCAGCACCTGGTCGAACTTGGAGTATCTAAGAACCTGGTCCTCCTCGGCTCCCCTGCTCCCCCATAGCAGCCTCATCTGGAAGTCCGTGAGGAAGATCTCCTTAACCCCTTCCTGCTCCTGGAAACCTGGAACAAAACATTCCAACATCAGCATTTTGGCTCCAGCTCACATCAGTTACACGTATTTCTTTTACTGTTATCAGCAATATCTTGTGCAATTTACTATTTAATACCCTGTGCAATAACCTGTTTCTCTACATTTGACACCCAATGCAATAACTAATATATAAATATCCATTAATGTAAATACCCATGTAAACACCCTGAGCAAATAACCCTGTATAATAATCCTACTATAAAAATCTGAAAGCACTGTATATACTGTATATATCCTTGCACCTTTTCTTCCTTTGGCACCTTTTTATTCTTTGACAATTTAAGCTGAGGTCACGAGAAAATTTCTCCACTGTGAGATCATTAAAATCAATCAACCAATCAATTGATCACTCAATCACTCGTCTTAACAATGCCACCTCTGAGATTACAAGCATGTGTTGCTGCCACTCAGAGTAACTTTTATCTTAATATTAAACTGGGTTCAGTTTTTTGTTGGGGCTTTTAGAAATCACATAAAATGATCTTCACTATATTCAAATGTTTATCCTCTAGCAGAAGTAGCGGGTCTAGCTAAAAACATAAATAACCAATGTTTCAAATCAAGAAGCCGACGCATGAGGTTATTGTTGCTTTAACTCCTGCTAAATGACTTAGGGGAACTTTTTTAAACTGGTGTTTTGTTTTCTTCCTACAGAAAATATTTGTTTGTAAAGTCTGTTGGATTTATGTCCCGTATAGACAGTAACTGTGTCGACATACATTTATTTAAAATTCTATTTACTTTTTCCTCCCAATTTTTAACTTCTTATCATTACATTCAAATTTTGATAGAAACAGAGTCTGAACAATGTGAGACAGATGCAAAAAAAGAGGAAGAAAACATTTTCACTAAAATGAATATTGAGGTTTCTAGCATAGAATCTAAACAGTGTGTAGTGAAGCTATTCTCTATTTTATCACTTTTTTTAAACAGTCCAGAGACACATTACGACATTACGGAGTATTAGGGCCAGGCAAGAGATTTTTTTTTCTTCTATTTCGGGAATAAAGTCATAACATTACGAGAATAAAGTTCTAATATTACGAGAATGAAGTCATGATACCACTACCCGTTTCAGAGAGAAAGCTTCGAGCTCCGACCAGCATCTGATGGCCGACCAGCTCCACCAATCAGCAACCTGAGTCCATTTTGACATCCTGGCTAAAATATTTCCTTATTTGTCAAACCAGAACCAAAGTATAACTTCACATAATGCTCGACATTCCACATTTTAGGGAAGAAAGTGCTTCTTGTAAGAGTTGTCATAAAACACAACTTGTTTCTCGTAATTTTAGGACTTTATTCTCTTGATTTTAGGACTATTCTCATTGTGACTTTTCTCTCTTAATATTATGACCTTATTCTCTTAATGTTACTACTTTATTCTTGTAATTGTACGAATTTATTCTCGTAATGTTACAACTTTATTCTCGTAATTATACGAATTTATTCTCGAAATAGAAAAAAAAAAAATCTCTAGCCTGGCCCTAATACTCCGTCATAACAAACAAAATGCAGAAAGAGCTTTTTTTTAAAATCTCTATTGTCAAAAATATTTTTAATACAGTCCCTAAATCGTTTACATAACATTGAGTAGAAAAATGATTAATGTCAACGTGAACAGGTCCTTAGTATACTGCTGCGGTCTCTCTACACATTGTTATAAACCTTTGGCCAAATTATTGATTCTAGAGATGTTTTTATTTACATTATAAATTATAATTAATTTGCTGGTCGTAGGTCGTTTTAATGACCTGAATCCTTTTCTGGCATCCACCATGATTCTGTCAGTTTTAGAAAACTCTTAAAATGAAAGAGAAATAATAATGTGGGGTAAAAGAGCTTTTATTCATCACAATTCAGGAATCTTAATGGAACCATAATTTCCAGATTCTTACCCCGTAATCTGCCTTCAGAGTTAGAGCTGTAGATCCCCCCCAGCTGAGCCATAGTTCTCGCTGCTGCCAGGTGCAGCATGACCACCTCCACCCCGACCTCTGCGGTCTCCCAGGGCTCTGTCCCGTCTCCAACTGCAGAGCTCTTCTCCAGCAGGGTGAGGAGGGGGAGGACGTGGGGGAAGGTAGTACTGGACAGCGGACAGCTTTCTGCAGGACAAACAGCAACAGAGACTCATTGATCAATTCAAATCTGGATTCACAGATTTTATTAAATTATGTAATATTATTTACCTCTTCCATCATTCAAGCCCTTAAGAAACGGACGCAGGGTTTTCTCAAAGAGAATGGCGCCCTCTGTGTGTCGCTGCCGTAACGTTATCCATGTCTGCTCCAGACGAGACACCTGAGACATAAATCATCAAAAAAGACCCAAACGAAATCAGACAGAGCATTGAATTGCAGAAGCCTCACAGCGGGAATCTCACCATCTTCCCTCCCTCAATTAAAAGCAACCAGTAAAGCTATGCAAGAACATTTTGTGGTAATTATGACACTTTTTTTCTAGCAAAACCTAAACTAAATCTTCACCTTCAACATAAATAAATCCCTCAGGATAGTTATGAAAGCAATATTCACATCTTTACGACCAGAGATAATGAAGAAGTGCTGGTAATGTTCAGTTCTCTGTGTGTAGGGAGTAATATTTTATGGTTTACTTATGACAGACAGTGTATTTATCAATAACCTGTAGATCTTGTTCAACTCTACCACAGTTGGAAACAAGCCCACTGGACATTTGTTGCATGTCAGCTTGTTCTCTCCTATCTCCATCCATAAAGATAAACAAATAGCACTATCATATGCTTCTCTCACCTGCGGCAGCTCCAACGCTCTCATAACGGCGGCAAAGCCGAACATGTTGCCCAAGGTTGTCTTTAATTCGGCTGCGATCTGGATTATTTTATGCAGCAGGGCGGCTCTCTCCTCCGTCGTTCCAGTGCAGCCCAACACGTTTACAGCCAACATGGTGGCCATGGTCTGAAACCTGCAGAAACACATCAGATCCTGATCAGCAGTGGTATTCACTCAGTTTAGGCGGATATAGTTAAAGCCACAAGTCATCTGAGAAAAGTGAAATAAACTGGAAAAGTCATGCAAAATTATACTAACAGTACTTGGTCATTTTTAGATTTGCAGAAATATTTTAAAGTCTAAAAAGTCAATTGTAAGAATCTTTGGGTTAGAGCAGTGCATTTGTGCTCTGAGAAGGTTGCAAGTCCTGGTTTGATCCACACAGCCTCTAGTCTGGGTTCCTGAGCAAAACCCTTAGCTTCACACTGCTCCCCGGGGGCCACACAATGGCAGCCCACTGCTCCCCAAGGGGATGGGATGAATGTAGAGAGTAAATTTCCCCCATTGTGGAAAAATAAAGGGATTTACATTCGCATAAAGTCATAATGGTGACCTGAATTAGAACAAAAAGTTACTACACTGAAATGCTATATTTTTAGTTTTTCTGTTTGCAGAATATAGAATCTGATCTTTGGTAGTTTTGACTCAGCTGAGCTTTTAAGTAATCAGAAACATCAACCATTCGTTGTTTATTCCCTGCTTGCCGATGCATGGTTACGGGTTTGGCTGGCGAACATTTCACTGGGAAAAAAAGTGGGACACAGCAGATCAAATACAAGATTGTGACATAGAAGAAACAACCATGTGCTGCATGTATGCCTTGTGGGGATCTAGAGACACCACTTTACCCAGTTATCATGATTTTAGGCTGCTAATTAAATCAGAAAAACTGACTTTCCGTGCATTGTTAACTCAGGAGCCTTTTCTAGATCAAACATCCTTTCTTATCTGTGCAATATTTTGCAGATTGCGCTGAGTTTCATTGGTGACTGCTAAATAAGGGAGCAGCAGAAAAAACGTCTCCATCTTTATCTTATTTTCTTAAATGAGTAATTCTATGGTAATGATTTGTTTTAAGCGTTCCAATCAGGTTTTAAAGTTCATCAAAGCACTAAAACAGTCCTGGTCAAAGTCACCAATGATATCCTCATGGCTTTAGATAACAGACTTTTGTCTGTGCTTCTTTTGTTAGATTTCAGTGCTGAATTCAAGATACATTAGTGTTACTGTTATTATTAGTTTAAAACTATCTTTGACATCATGTCTTATTTCTAACACTGTGTCTGTAAGAATGTTTTTAATCAAACACTATGTAAATCTTCTGCTATTATTCCTGTTTTGCTTAAGTTGCTTCCCTGTGAAATGACAACCTCAAAAGGATGTTTTTCTAATGAATTTGGTGTAAAAACGTGTACGCATGGAGGTGTAGTCGGTTCATGGACAGAAACTTGAGCAATCAGAAACTGAATCTGAATAGGATAGTGTCAACCTTAATATGAAAAATATGAAATTAAGTGTATTGGTTTGAAAATATAAGTTAATATAAACAATATATTAAATGAAGCAAAGTATGAAATTGTCTCTTTTTTTACAGAGAGAGCAGGAGACTTTGTGCCTTAATGTGGGACTCACCTCTCCAGTAGGTCCAGTCTCAGCTGCTGTCCATGTGGCAGCGTCAGCAGCTCCATCCCAGAACCCACTCCCATCTTGCTTTTCATCTCCGGAGTTACTTCCAAAATTCTTGCCACCTGGGAAAATAGCAGTTATTTCTGTTGCATTGGCCATCAAAACATATAAGAATACTAGAAATATGGCATATAATATTGTGTATTTTGGTTATTTTTCAGAATATCACCAGAAAAAGCTGAAGACTTGTTTGAACCAGATGCTGTTTTAAAGATTTGAAGTCCATTTAACCCCTTGCTGCCTGAATTTATAAACATACACATATATATATACACTGTTTGCCTTTAAGTAGATGAATTTGTTTAATTTCTATTTATCTGAAAAATAAGAAAAATGTCTGTATAATACAAATCTGTGACATTTATAGCGGTCAATTATAACATACACTGTTAGGGGCAGAAAGAAGACCTTGCCCTGAAAGTGAAGGGTTGACGGTTCAAGCCCCAGCTCTGGCTTTCATTGTCATTGTATCCTTGGGCAAGACACTTCACCTGCATTGCCTACAGAGTGGGGGTGCCGGCGTACGGTAGCCTTGATTCTGTCAGTAAGCCCCAGGGCAGCTGTGGCTACAATGTAGCTTGCCACCATTAGTGTGTGAGTGAATGACTGAATGGGTGAATGAATGAATGTAGTGTAAAATGCTTTGGTGAAGTCTCCTGACTTTAAAAAGCGCTACACAAGTACAGGTCATTTTCTATTTACCATTTGTGAAAGGTTCCTAGGTCCACACTGAACATGTAATATTACATATGCTATCTTGGTTGTGTATGTAACATAAAGGGTTTATTACATATTTGCAACAATGAGTGTTAAGGGGTTATTAAAAAAACTTTCATGTTTAAAAGTTTATGCCGCAGATGATGAGCTTTATGACCTGGTGCATCTTCTTGTTGAAAACATCAACCAGAGGAAGGGGAAACAGTAAAAGAGGGGACGGACTTATATTTTCCTCTTTTAGCTAAATTTTAATCAGACCATTGCGGCTGGACCTGAGAATAGACCAGGCAATGTTTTCCAGGTTTATAGTCAGTTCCCTGTTCTTAGCAGACAGGATTAGCCTCATGGTTTGACCTCATGTGTGACTGGAAATGGTGCTTTACATTTTTTGTTAATTACTAACTTCCATTGTCATTGACTTTCTCATAATAACATTTTTTGCCTAATATTTTATGCCAATTTTTGTTTTAGAACATTAACTATAAACCCAAAAGTTGATTTTCTAGATTTCCAAATGCAATAAATTGTTTCTATGTGACCAAAGATTTCTTATTTCATGCTACAAGCCTTTCAATAGATGTGTCCAGTGGGTGTACACAGGGCAGTATATTAAAATTCTTGTTTCGAGGTATTTTTTATAAGTACTGATTTAAAACACACTTAAACTTAAATATAATTTTTTTCTATTTTTTTTCTATTTTTTTTTACCAGGCTTTTAAGATAGTAAAAATCAATTTAGATGGATAAAAAAACACCCACAGGTTAAAACATTTAACCACAGCTTTAAAACATTTTTTGACTACTTTTGTTACTATATAGCCCTTGATTCATAGTGCTTCAGTATTACCATGCAGTCAGTCTTGGTGATGTGTTTGGCTGCTATCCTGGGGTCGACCTCAGCCAGCAGCTCCTTCACCTTTCGCAGGATGCTCACTTCTAGGGGCTTGTTTTCTTTTGGCATCAGTGGTGAATTGTACATTCTAGGCTTGAAACAGGAAACCGTCTCCACAACCGCAGAGAAGAACACATTTCCTTCCTTTAAACTCAGTGGGTCTGCATTCAATGGCCCTTCGTCGGTCTGGAGCCTCTCCACGTAGCTCTGAGGGTACAGCTCTGTATAGCCATCTTTAATGGGGGAAGCCAGGCCCTGATGAAGGGGAGGGTTTGAGGGTACATTAAGACGCCTTCTATGCAGGGGGCAGCTGGAAGAGGTCAGGGACTGAGCATTGTCTGACAAGTTTGATAATGACGGAGATGGTGCGACAATGGCTGCCCGGCTGCAACAAGGGCTTCTGGATTGTGGTGCTGGAGGAGAGAGAAAAAAAGAAAGTTCAATGCTTCAAAGTGCTTTACAGTACATTCAGTCACCTTCATGAAAACCTTAGCCTTAATTTGATGCTAAAGTTCTTCTCTTATATAATAAATGTTCGTGTATATGATCCTTACACTCAATCAATGGATCAGTTTCATAGAAATATGAGAGAAAGGGTTGCTCTTTTTTTCATATCAAATTTGTTCACAAAGGCACAAATTAACTCTGCAAACTATGAAACATGTGACCTGCTTCCTGGAAATGATCCATCCATCCGTCCTGACCTCCACCATTTCCTACAAAATCAGTGTTTAACGTCAGAATGGAGTAAACCACCATTGCCTAATGTTTTTTGTTGATTACTTATTTAAAGTCTGGCAGTCTAGGGGCGAGAGGTGGGGTACAACCTGGACAGGTCCACCCTCAAAAAACACACACACACACACACAATACAGACACACTGTGTGCTACATTGATGAAAAACCATCGTTGATTAGAGTGATATGAAAATATATCTTTAACAAGTTCACGTGATCATCTGCATTACAGCACCTTCCCTGAATTCACATTTTTATCCATGATTTATTTGCTGCATGGAATCAATGATCATCTAAATCTCACTAAGGCTGTGATTTGTCTGAATCTCCACTTGTGTAACAGCTTTTTAAAAATCCTGCTCTGTTTACACCACTTTGTTCCCTAAAAAGAGTCACTATAATGTAGGCTAATGTTAAGGTTTAATACTCAGGGTAGGTTGTTCTATTATTTCTTATTTCTAGGATTTTTAAATGTCTTTTTCAGATCAACGGATTTCATATAATCATGTAATAATCATAATGATATAAAATTAAATGTACTTGTGCTAAAGTATGTATTTATTCATCAAAGTTTAAAAGCCAATCTGTTTTTAAATCTGAACAAAAGCAGAATTGACCACGGCAAATATTTGACATTGCCATTTAAAATTCAATCAAAAGAAAAATGTTAAGATGTAAGAGGAGCAAACAAAAGACATGCCATATGGTTACTGTCTTTGCTCTGCATGAACCTGCAGCCACCGGTCAATATTATCTCAGTACTACATCTAAAGTTCAGCACAGGGCCATTCCTGCTGTTCCTGAGTGCTGTAAACCACTCACATGCTGAACTTCAGCCCACTTTCCTCACTGCCAACACCTAACGCATACCTCTGCCTGTCCAAGCTTGAATTCACTCAAGGCTTAGCTCAGAGGGAAACTGGAAGCACAGAGAGGTATCTGCAGGCTGCAGCGCTACAGGTGAGTTTTACCATCAAAGGGCAAGAAACTGATCAATGATTGATGATTAATGAAATGATCAGTGGAAAAAAAAATATTATTCACTACAGACGTTTTCTTAATTTTTGTGATTTTTTTTCTTCATTAACAAACTCAGAGTAGTTACACATGGTGCTATAGCTTCACTGAGGCAGATTGAGGGTTTCCAGATGTTTTCTGCAGGAAGAAAGCAACGCTGAACCTGATAGTAAGGTCAAACTAGAGGAGACTTGACTTTGCCGGAACATTTCTGTGTGTTTTTTTAAACTGCTTACTGGATGAAATCCAGTCCCAGTTTGCAAAGTGTTCAAATTGCATGATATAAGCAATAAAATCTGCAGGGAAGAATGTTAATGTTGCTTACTGCAACTAATAATATTCCTTTTTTGTAAACATCCTAAATCATTACCTTATATATGACTTAATTTTGTTTTCATTATTTCCATGACAAAATCATGTCAGTGGTGAGTGTCAAAAAACAATCTTAATCCGTTCTAGAACAGAGGAATGTAGATGTGCTTATAAATAATACAGCTGAAACCTTTTCTTGCTACCTTTAAACACAAAGACACTTCTACTGTTTCACTTACAGAGCAAATGTACACTTCAACAAAAAAAGCTGGGAAATCTGAGAGAAACAACTTACTAAATTTCCATGTAAACCTCCTGAGACTTAAAAGAATTTCCCCATTGTCGTTGTGTAATCAGGAAACCATTACCGAGCTGCACATGGTCTTGGAGTTATGTAAAGTGAAGAAAAAAGCCCCAAAGCTTTCTGAAAACCTTGAAAACAACCCATGTAGTGAGACTTTTTTTCCCCCCCAGATGCATTTGTTTTGTGCATACTTTGAAGTATTTGCTCTGGAGCAGGGGTTCTCAAAGTGCATGTTCAAAGGTACAAATCAGGGTTTCAGATAAGGTAAAAGGTCAGCTACTGTAGCAATGAGCAAACACTGTTTAACAAACACAGAGTAATCTTTAATGGTAACACAGAGATGGTGTTCATCCAAGGGTTTATATGCTGGTTTTAAATATTGGAGGCAAAATAATCTTGTTAAGGTAATGAACTCTATATGCTTCAGACACATGGATTTGGCCAAAAAAATAATTATTTGACAATAACTATGTCAAAATGGTAAGACTGCAGTGGCGGCTGCTCCTCTGAAACAGGGGAGGCTCAATGGCAGTGGCTGCTGGCCAATAGAGGGCGCTAGGGCACCACCCCACCCAATAACCTTGATTAAGACATAAAAAAAAAATAAAAAAAATTTAAATGTAAAATTTAAATATTTCAAAATATATATTGATACATAATTTTTAGATGTGCAAGATAAATATTTAATCTTTAATGGTGAGTAAAACATTTTATTTATTTTTTTGTCGGATTGGTGATGTATTTCTGCCATGAGGTGCAAAAATGTTCGCCCATTGACTCTCGTTAAAAGCTGTACATGTGCAGTAGCTCCTCTGCAATACATAGATATAGGAGAGTTCCTGCGCCCCGAGGTGGCAGGTACTGTCGTCACAGTTGTAGTGCAGGTGATTGATAGGACGAAGGGAAGCAAAGGGAAGCAAACTTACCAAGAGAAGCTGGAGGTGAAATCGTTTTGACCTAATCAGCCGAAAATCAAAATGAATAAAAGATGGATGGAGACGGTATACTGTCTTTTTCTACGACCCTGTTTAGCTGCAAAGCTTGGCTAACCATATGTAGGCTAATGCTTTATTCTGCTGACTTGACTTCCGGCCTCCTTTTTCAAACATCAGGATCTGAGCCAGCCTGGATAAAGACAGGTAGGACTGATTTAAAGGACTTTTTAGAAAAGGCAAAGAAGAATAAACAATCTTAATATAGTGTATTTTTTCTAGATGTTTGGTCATTTGCATAGTTGCTTAAATAAAAGACATTCTCAGAAAATAAATAGTTTTTATATATTAAAAAATATAAAGCTGTTAGGAGCTTCTCCATTATTAAACTGGTACATCATTTTTTTTTTTTGGTTTGTGAGACCAAACCAATTAGACCTTCTCAATGTTGCGGGTGGAACTGAGAATAGACCAGGCAATGGGTTGGACCATGCAACACACAGATTTGCCTCAGAAGGGATACATTTATGTACAAAAATTAAACCTGTACATGAAATTATGTTTTTGCTTTAATAAAGTGTTTTCATTATGTTTTTTGTTGTTGGCATTCATATAAATGTACTGGTGTAATAACATAGTATACGGTTTTTGGTATTCCATCTATTTTAAATTCATAGCCCCCTTTGGAGAAAACTCCTCCAGCCACCTCTGACTTGTACTCCTTTCACACTGGCCGAAAAACCTGTTAAAACCCAGGAACAATCGGCTTTTAGTGACAGTGGGAACAGGTCATTGACAAGGGTCTACCCAGGTCAAACGACTCAGCAAGCAACCCACGTTAAAATTGGCTCGGCTCCGATCCGCTAATTTATGTGACATCATTGAAGGCAACGAATAGACATCAACACACTCGGCATTTCGGTCAAATGGAAAAATAGCCAAAAGCGATTGTTAGCAGGTCAGCTCGGCTTTGAAAAACACAGATTTTCAGTGGCAAAGCGGCTTTAGTAGGAAAAGCATTACTTCTGCTTTTCATTTTGTTTCAAAGTCTTGTGACTCGTTACTAATAATTTTTACCACTGTATTTAAATAGATGGCAAATAAAGCTTTACATCTTGATGGATTTTTTTAGCGTAATAATGAGTAATTTCGTTAAACTGATCACGCATCAAACTTTCGGTAACTTTAAAATGGGTGTGAAGATTTGGGGTAAATATATATTCAAATGCATTTTGGATTGGATTGATCGCATCTCCATCTTGGTTTCCAGATTGGTATATATTATTATTTCCAGAAATTATAATATATACAAAATAAAATAGAAAGTAAATGTCTTTTCCATTATACCATTACTGGTAACTTTGATTCATACCTATCGTGTAGCCATGTACATATATTAGTACATAAAATTTATCTTGAATATTGTTTAACAGAAGAACTTTCTTTGTTAACTTTTGGTATATTTTCTTCAATAAAATGAACAAAGTATACCTAATATACCTCCATACAGATTGCCTTTGAACATGTGAAAAGAAACAGAACCCCACTAGATGTCAGCTTTTCTGAATAAAGCCAGATTATAGCCCAACACATATCGTCTTTTTGCTTTTCTCTGGACTCGGATAGTTCTAGAGTATGACCTTATGATACAAATGAATCAGTTGCATAAGCAACAGCTTAAAATGCTAGAGGCTATTTTTGAAGATAAGCAACTGATGCAGTATCTTATTGATGCTAAATATGACCTAGTTCTCACTGATCCTGCAGTTGGTGGTGGTGTTCTTCTGGGACACCGTTTGGGTCTTCCACTTGTCTTTAATGTCAGATGGACTATTCAGGGCGAAGGACATGAAGCCATTGCACCTTCCCCTCTTTCCTATGTCCCAATACCAGGATCAGAGCTTACTGATAGAATGACATTCATGCAGAGGGTCAAAAATTTACTATTTTATTTGATCTCACGCATGCAAGTTTGGTATATTACAGAACCAAACTACAAACCCTTTGTCCATCAACATTTCGGCAAAGACGTAAATCACATGGAGCTGTTTCAAGCAGCTGACATCTGGCTGATGAGAAACGACTTCACCTTCGAGTTTCCACGACCAACAATGCCAAACATTGTCTATATGTCAGGGTTCCAGTGCAAACCCTCCAAACCTCTCCCCCAGGAACTGGAGGATTTTGTTCAGAGTTCAGGAGAACATGGTGTCATAGTGATGACATTGGTGACATTGGTGGGACAGCTTCCTGAGGATCTCACTGAGGACATTGCTGCAGCTTTTGCTGAGCTCCCTCAAAAGGTGATCTGGAGGCACAAAGGAAAGAAACCATCCACACTTGGCAACAATACCTTACTCTTGGACTGGTTACCCCAAAATGATCTCCTGGGTCACCCCAAAACTAAACTATTTGTAGCTCATGGGGGCACTAACGGAATGCAAGAGGCAATCTATCATGGAGTCCCTCTCGTTGATTTGCCTCTCATGTTTGATCAGCAAGATAACTTCTTCAGAATGGCATCAAGAGGAGTGGCCAAAGTCCTGGACTATGGAACAGTGAATAAAGAAATCTTCCTGGAGGGCCTGAAGGAGGTTCTTTATGAACCTTCTTACAGAGAAAAGATGAAGAAGCTGTCCAGTCTTCAGAGAGATCAGCCAATGAAACCTTTGGACCGAGCCATTTTCTGGATCGAGTTTGTTATGAGGCATAAAGGAGCAGCCCATCTGAGGACAGAGTCCTACAAGATGTCGAAAATCCAATACTACTCCATTGATGTTTTGGCATTCCTGTTAAGCATTATTCTGCTTCTCTTTAGTGTTTTCATTTCTGTTATTAGGTTTCTCTGGAAAAGACTCTTTTATAGACCCAAAGCCAAAAAGGAATGACGAACATGCTGCCAGGCAGTAGCAAATGTACTGTATATAGAGGGCAGTTCTTAAACATGCAGCCAGCTGGTTATTGTTCTACCATTTTCTGCCTTTATTTTTGTAGTATATTTTTTAATGGCAAAGGCTATTTGGTAGAAACAACATTAAATACTTTTTAAACAAGTTGTGCCAGAAGGGCATGATTTCATGTAACAAAAAATATAAATATATAATCTAAAACCTGAAAGAAATAAACATCACTTCTCTTTTTCCGCTTTTAGCAAATGCCTTGGGGCAGTTTTCCTCTGTATCTTTAAGCACTGTTTTGAAATATATGCCAATTAAAGCTTAACATATTGACAAATTTGTAATGTCTTATTATTGAGTTAAATTTGTGAGTTTGATTTTGGTGAAAAATATAAGCACACTACATATTTAAGCTGCAGAGAATATCTGATGCAGGAAGGTCATATATTAAACTGAGTCAGTTTCAATGGTTGGGTAAATATAGAATGGGTGAGACTGAGTTTGGTTAAAATACTTAATCTAATGTACTCAGATTTATTACATCTCCATCTCAGGTATACAGATGTTTGCATGTGTTCATGTTTTACCTCCAGACATATAAATTATTAAATGCTAAATAGATGCTTTTTCAATAGGCCAAACAAACCTTTGCTAATGCAAAGTTTGCTGAGCGTATTATGTAGAGATTTTTTGTTACATAATGTCCCAATTAGATGTTAGCATTTTTGTCTAAAACTAAATGTAAGAGCTAACACGCATCTTCTCGTTAGAGACTAACAGATTGAGTCTTGTTAGTTAGTTTTCAATGTTACAGGACTGCTCATTTTTGTACAAAATTATCAGTTAAATTTGAGTAGCACTGCACCTTTTAATGCCAAATTGCCAAAGGAAGAGATGTGCGAGACGGAGAAAGTGGGGCTGCAGAGCCGGGCTAACTGTGAAGCTAAGGAGAAATCCTCACAGACCTCCGCTTCCATCAATCCTGCTCTCAAACGTTTGCTCACTGGAAAACAAAATGGATAATTTTCGACTGGAACTCTCAACAAAGAAGGAGATTAGTAACTGCTGCGTCATCATTCTGACAGAGTCATGGCTGCATCCAACAATACAATGCCATACAAAGACAATGCTATTAGCCTGAAAGGGCTAACGCTATACCGCACCGATAGGAACAAAGAACTAAGGGGTACGACTTTGGGGTGGTGGACTCTATGTTTACATCAATCAGTCGCCAGCTTCTGCTCTCGAGACATCGAGTTTCTGACTGTTAGTCAGAGTTCAGTGTGGTTAGCATCACTGCTGTTTATGTTAAGGTGACCAGATTTCTGAAATCAAATCTGGGGACATTTCTTGCTCGTGGATAAAAATCAATACATTTTATCGAGATGAAATTAGGAAATGGGGACAGTAATGGTTTCATATATTTTTACATATTTATTAATATTTAAACAACAAAAATCAAGTGTAAAAGCCAGGAATGTGCCTTTCCAAACGTTTAGTGTATCCTAAGATTAATAACATGAATAGTGTTATTAGTAGAAAACTAGAACTGTGTCTCTGGGCTGGGGCAAAGTGGTGGGGATGGGAGCGGAGGGGTCAAGGGTCATTAGCAGGGCTTTCCAATTTTGTCGGGCCCAAAGAGCTCTGCCGCCTCCTAAGGGGAGAGTGACATGAGGAAAAGAAATTTAGAAAAGTAAATACAAACATTTATTCTATGCCTGTGGCTGTCTGTTGAGACAGTTTCCCCACCTCTTCAAAAAAGTGCAACAAATACTTATTCTGTTTACATCTACTGTACATGCCTATAAGAAATATTTTTTTCTTCATTAACATAAAAAAACAAGTAGTAGTCAAGCCTGCAGGTAAAGGTTCATATATGTTTCTTATTGTCACCTAGCCACATCAGGGGCCTGTGTGTCTCAAAGTAGCAGGTTCATTTTTCCTACTAACCTGAGTATACAGCCACTCTGTGTTCCACAGCATACTTTGCACACTACATCACTCAATATGTTAGTTTATCACTCAAATCATGTCAACGCTTTATCACTTGAACTTTATTAATACATATTATACATTTTAAATATTTGAAACAGAAATATTAACTGAACAGGGTCTGAGGCAGTGGCCCTGGTAATTTGGGTAAAATAATATAAGAGAAGACATAGCAAGTAAAAAGCAAAATAACCTTTTTAAATATCTTAAACAAGTTTAACCATTGAACAGCAGAATAGGCTTAACATCAACACAATGTATATAATCCAAGAATAGTCCATATTTATAAACAGCAATAACATATACATATATAATTTCCCAATGGAAATTCTGATTATAATTTCTCCGTAAAATGACACTTCCTCTTCTTTGAAAGAGCCATCTGGTCATTCAGTCTTGTCTGTTTTCTTCCCTCTCCACCTTCGCTTTTGTTTCTAGCCCTCTTTTGACTTCTGCCTGCTCTCTGCTTTACTCCTCAAAGTAAATTTTTCTCCCTTCTTGTCAACCGTTTTTTCTATCAGAGTTCCTAGTTTCCTCCTCTCTCATTCAATCTCCTTTCTGTCTTTCTATCTTCTTCCTCACTCCTCCAGCATCAATCTTACATTATTCTAAAACAGAGACATTATATAATCAAAATCACCACCAAAACAAATTAGGATGTGCAACATGAAAACTTATTATTATTAATATCTCATCTAAATACTAAAAATGCTAATTACCACAATATTAGGAGCTACAAGCAAAAACCACATAATAAATAAACATTAAACAGGTGGTTATCTCTTCCTCCATCATTCTCAGATCATGTAGATCTTGTCTTATTCAGTTCTCCTGTTACTGACTCCTATTTTTTCACAAGGAACGTTCATATATATCCAAACTGAGCAGTAAAAAAGCACACCAAAAACTGGAAGTCTATGCTCATAAATCACAACCATAAATCATCAAAACAAATTGAAATAACTCTACTTATAATAACTATCTGAAATATAAACTAAAGGTCACCTATCCATTCTAAATCATCTTTATACAAACCCTTGTTGATCCCTGGAGAACCAGCGTACCAGATTAGCGCTTTACAAGGAGTTTTCAATCATTTTGCTACATTTTAACCCAGCGTCTTTTACTCATGCTCAACTCGTGGTCTTGTCTTACTTTTTATTATTTTTTTAACCTGGACACAAACCAAACATTCATCACAAGATCAGCCCGATCAGAATAAAATAAATTGATTAACACACTTACCATCACTCAGCGTAGCTCCCCATCAGTTGCCACAGGTTGTAAAAAACGAACTTCCACTTCTTCTGTTTTAAAAGTGATGCGCTCTTCTTCTTCTTTGTGTTTTAATGGCAGCTGACATCCAAACGGATCATTACCTCCCTTCTAGTGGTGCGCTCTGTTCCTTATCTTTATGTTATCAGCAGCGCAACCAGCTACCGTAATACCTATTTTTGCGCGCAACAGCTCTACCGTAATAACAGTCTCCATGCAACATTTTTCGCCTCGGTAAAATCGGGGACATTTCCGGGGACAGCTTTAGCCGGGGACAGGTGGTCCAAAACGGGGACAGTCCCCGGAAATCGTGGACGTCTGGTCACCCTAGTTTATGTGCCCCCCAGCACTAATACTAAGGAGGCCATGAAGACTCTATACAAGCTATCTCTGAACTCCAATCTGCATACACATAGGGTGTTTTCATCATTGCTGGGGATTTTAACCAGCCTAACTTGAAGACTATTCTCCCTCAATTTTACCAACATGTGGACATTTTAGACCTGGTTTACTCTAACATAAAAGATGCATTTGGAGAAGCCCCCCGCCCCAATCTCAGGTCATCAGATCATCCCCTGGTCATGCTTATACCTGCATATAAGCCCCAGCTGATCAGATCTAAACCAACAGTTAAAGTGGTCCGTATGTGGTCTGAGGGCGCCATGGAGACACTCAAAGACTGTATTGAACGCTCTGACTGGAACATCTTCAAGACTGCAGCAACATATGATAGCTTGTTAAATATTGATCAGTGTGCTATGATTGTGTCAGCCTACAGTACATCAACAAATGCATTGAGGACGTCTGCATTAAAAAGAATATCACCACCTGGGCCAAGCAACCACCCTGGATAAATGGAGAGGTTCAGAAATCGCTAAAAGCACGGAACTCAGCTTTCAAGTCTGGTGATAAAGAGGCAATGAGAACAGGGTGTGCCAACTTAAACCATGCCATCAGATCAGCGAAGCAGAACCATGACTAGAAAATCCAGGGTCTTTTCCATGACTACAGCAACACCAGCAGGATGTGGAAAGGCATTCGGATGATCACAGACTACAACACACCCTCCCCCCCGGTAGATGCAGCAAACACTGACTTCCTAAATTAACTGAAGAACTTCTTTGGAAGGTTTGAGGCACTAAACAGCACTCCAGCAGTGAAAGCCATTCCACACCAGGGGGAGGAGACACTAAACCTAGACGTAGCTGAAGTGAGGAAAACTCTGAGGAGGGTCAATCCAAGGAAGGCCCCAGGGCCTGATAACATACCTGAGTGGCTGTATAAGGAGTGTGCAGATAAGCTGGCTGGTGTCCTCACAGACATCTTTAACACCTCGCTGGACCAATCCATAGTGCCAGCATGCTTCAAGTCTGCTACCATTATTCCAGTCCACTCATTCAATGATACTGGCCTGTCGCACCGACTCCAATCATGATAAAGTGCTTTGAAAGGCTGGTTAAAGAACACCTACCAAAGAAACCATTCCACTGAGGACGCCATCTTTGCTACTCTCCACCTGAGCCTGGCACACCCGGAGGAGAAGAACACCCACATGCGGATGTTGTTCCTGGACTTCAGTTAAGCTTTCAACACCATCATCCCACAGCATCTGATGGGCAAACTGGAACAGCTGGGCTTCAACACAACCCTTCGAAATTGTCATTTTAGAGGTGGTCAAATGCACCAAATTTCTGGGGGTGCACATCACAGACTACCTCACCTGGAATGTAAACACCACCTCACTGATCAAAAGGGCACAGAAGCGCATCTACTTCTTGCGGAGGATGAGTAGAACCCACCTGCCCCCACCCATCCTCACCACCTTCTACAGAAGCACCACAGAGAGCATTCTGATCAGCTGTCTCACTGTGCGGTGTGGAGGCTGCAGCGCCTCAGACTGGAAGAACGTGAGGAGAGTGGTGAGAACAGCAGAGAGGCTCCTCTTCCTTCCATTAAAGAGATTTCATCCCATCATCAGTGACCCCTCACACCCCCACCATGGACTGTTCTCCCTGCTGCTCTCTGGGAAGAGGCTTCGAAGC